ATTGTGAAGTTCGGCGAAAGTTGGGAGTGATTGAGTAGTTCCCTAACATTATTAAATGATGTGTCATTAAATCAAGAAATAGTTGAATTAGTCTAGATGTATTACACTCGTCATGAAATATGAAGGTTCAGGGTTCGGTGTCTGGTAGTGAGAATGCGTACTGCATCCGAGTTATATCTGTACAGCGTTCACTGGTTTATGATGACCTGGCAGCAGATATGAATGTATGGTGAAAATCAACTTTAAAGATATATTCTTATTCAATTTCGATTTCTTTATCCTAAATAATATGATTTCATTCTCGAATAAAAACACACTGCTAAGTATCTAAATGTCTCAGAAAGTTTCTTTTAGTAGAAATCGAAGGTTTTCATGAGCTTTGTGTTTGGTAATTACTAATTAGAATCATTTGGTTGCGAATTCAGAGATTAGTTAATGTCCAGTTACTGAGGCTAATTGGATTTTATTTCCATTTAGTGACTAGATATTTTGTTATATTGTGCCTAACGTAAGGAGCTAACAGAATTCTGGGACTTGATATTTTTGTTCTTCACTTCTTACCAGCAAAGTATATTTTCTGTTGTTGTCAGAGTCAACGAAAGTCTTACATGACTTTTTTATTTCACTGAAAAACATTTATAAATTGGCATTCGGACCTGAGGGTAAATGAGTACGTGTTACATTGGCGCATATTGATGAAGAGATAAGTCTAATATTTAGCTAAATACATCATTTGGAAAAACAGAAAATTCAATGAGAATACTTCGTTTGAAATTTTGTTAGGTTTGTGTTTTATGAGTCATTTAGTTTAATCGCTTAGCTCTCATTGTCGTTTTAGGCAATATCGTCAGATTATGCTTAATATAGAGATGAGCTTTCCAGTTATTCCAGAAGTGTTAAATCAGTTCGTTTTGATTGCCTTGTTTGAAATTAGTTGTTTTAACAGTTTTTGTTGTATTCATTTGTTCTTTCAGTTCCGTTGTCGATCGAGTTCGTGTGACCTCTGATAGTTTAGCTGATTGACACCTTGATAGATAAGATCTATGTCAATGTATACTTTGATTGTCAGTCGGTAATATCAAAGTTTCTATTGTTTTTTTTCAATCAAAAAAATTAACCACTCAACACTAATTCATCAGTTAACTAGTACCATGCATGGAAAGGTAAGTTAGCGTTACATACATAGATTTCTTTGTAAAATTATCAGTATGTACTTCTCGTGGATTCCCAAGTTAAGACGATGAATGCGAGTCCAACGTTTCTTTTAGTGACATTAGCTCTGGGATTAAACCTTCGTTCAATTATACTGAAAATACCCATGAACCCATTACAGCATCGAAATACTGCGTGTACCTATATGTTTAGTCGATTGCATGAATTGATGAAACTAATGTGACTTAATGATAATTACTCATCAAAAATAAAATCAGTAACATAATGCTTCTCTTAATGAAAAGAAATCAAAAGTTTGAACAACTGGTAAGCGAAATGTGATTTTTCCCCCGGTAAAATAACACATATATTAAAAATGTTGAACATGCAAGTAAAAATATTTAACAGTCACTTTGTAAACAAAAGTAGTGGTATGACACGAATTTATAGATCATTCACAATTCAATAAAATTACGATTTAACTATTAGGCTTAATTCTTAGCCCAGCATATCAAATTTAGAACATTGTAACAAAGTTTTATGTATTTACCTCAATTTGAGAATTAAACATCACAGATAATTGCTGTAGCATCGTGATTTACTGTTACTTTGTAAAGAAATGTTAATCTTAACGACATTGCCAACTGAATATAAAGTTTATACAGTATATTGTTCTAGAAATGAGTAACTTCATGTTTTAAGTAAGTAGTCCCTTTTTATAAATTTCGATAGAGTAATGCGAAGACGGTGTTGATCTGAAAAATGGGATGTATTTGCGTTATATATTTCGAACAATCTGGTCACACACATGCTTGTCGAGGCAATTTATATGAAAATTAGTCAATTAAATGAATATTCAAGTAGCCGAAGAAATAAAGGAGAGAAAAGATTAACATCGTATTGAAAGAATAGGCAATTGTCATATTACCCTAGATCATAAAATGATGTAAGGGTTACCAGGATAAATTCGGAGAACGAAACTCCATCAAATTCAAGGTTACAACAACTTGTTTTTGTATACATATGGGGTGTTTAAATTTACGAAAATCGAAAGCTTCTATAAATATGAGAATTCGTCCTTGGAATTTCCTATACAACGTTTTAAAAGCTGTATTAATATCAGTTCTGCGTTTTGCTGTCGATGAACATGGGCTTCTATTACCCACTTTGATCGAAACATTTGACATTAATTGGTTTTGAAGTCATCTAGGTACATGTTCCATAACCCTTGATCATATTATTCGAAATATGTAGCACAAATATGTTACATTTTTCAGATTAACTCTGTCTTCTCAATACTCCATTGTAACTTAGTTTTATTTGAAATTTTCAAAGCTTTTATTTTATATGTTTAAAGATTAGCAAAAAATAGACCGATTATTTATTGCTGAAAAATTCCCATTATATTAAAACACAATTGTATGAACAAAGAATATTCTTTTCAATAATTTCTCATCAGCTACTCTACAATTATAAATCCAAATCAACAATCCATAAAATTGGCCAGATTTAAGGCAGAGTACATCATTCAAAATTACAACATGTGAATCAAGGATTGTTTGTCATATGAAATAACATAAAGTCGTCAATGGCGGGGTGAATAATATAAAGTGTTAACTTGAATCAGTTTATAAGCGAAATGAAATTGTGGTAAAAAATAATAATAGTAAGATGAATTTGTGACATAAAAATGCTGAGGAGTCCCATAATAGGACGAAACGGCCGTCCAGTGCTTCCAGGTTTTCCATGGTGGTCTAGCTTCAACTGACTCATGATCTTAATCATTGGAATTCATTTTCATTATTATTACACTTGATAACCGTTTTGAAAAACTAATTCAGCATCCAACCCTATCGAATATATCTGACCTAATTCATATTATTCTACATATTACGTAATTTCTTATTTGTAATTGTATTATTTTCTCTCTTACCCCATGTTGACAATATTTATTAAAGATAAATTATCGCATCTGACCAAATCAATGTGCATTTACCAATTTACCTGCTCATGTGGAGCTAGGTATATAGGTTGTTCGATACGTACTTTATCCAAAAGACGTGGCTAAAATGAGGAGGCACTGGCTGAATAAGAAGTTCAATAATCGAACACCTTATGAACACAGGTCACTCAACCAAGACAAACTCTGCGTTCAAAGTCATATACAAAGTAAATAGAAGTCTTCCAAAGACAATTGAACTGCATCTTATTTGCATTGCCGAAGCATTAGCCATACATCTGGAAAAAACAGAATTGTGTGTGCATAAGAGACTGGTACAAGCTCTTCTTGTACCACAGTCTTTATGTCTTATAATTTCTATCTCTTTCTCATACTCGCCTTCTTTTGTAGTCATCTGCTTCACCTTCCGTCTTCCCCTTAAATCCTCTACCCCCAACTGGTTTATTTTGTTTCCACGATCATTCTGATTACATTTAATCTCAATTTCAACATTTTATTTTATCATGTTGAGCCATCCTTTCCCAATGATAATTTCCCTATCTATTATTCGATGAATACGTAAGCCATTAACAATCAAACGATTATCAAACTTTCCTTGATTTATAAAAAAATATTTCTTTTAAAATACCATTTTTTATTTAGCCTCACTGTCGTCATGTCTAAGAGAAGTTTATTATCAGTATCATTATCATCCTGTAAAAATAAGTATATATACTTGCGATTGTACAGCTTTGAAAATGAATTTGCCGAAAAGAGAACTCTTCGCTGAATTATTCTTTCTCATTATTTATCTCACAATTTCATTTCACTTATAAACTGATTCAAGTTAACAACTTTACAATGGTCAACCCCAACATTAACGATCTGATTTGATTTTATATGACAAACAAAAATCCTTAATTCACATATTACAATTTTAAATGATGTACTCTGCCTTAAATCTGGCCAATTTTATGGATTATTAATTTAGATATAAGATAATTGCAGAACCTAATAAGAAATTATTGAAAAGAATAAATAAGAACTTTCGTCTAAATTTGAACGAATAGTTTCACAATATTCGGGCACCGAGTTAATGTGAGACATTAAAGATAAAGAATGTATTTGTAAAATCTCAGCGAAAGAATTTGAAGTAAATCAAACGTTTCGCCTGGCAATCTGGTCCAAGCTCTTTCAAGGAAAGATAATCAAGCAGTAAAATTATCGAATTTAAATAGGTACATGGTACTCTGGTTTACTGTATATTGATTGGATGTCTTATTCAGTATTCAGTAAACCAGAGTACCATGTACCTATTTATATTCGATAATTTTGTTGTTTGATTATATTTTCCTTGGAAAAGCTTGGACCAGATTGCAAGGCGAAACGTTTGATTTACTTCAAATTTTTTCGCTGAGATTTTACAAATACATTCTTCCTCTTTAATATTGAAAAGAATAATCTTCATTCATATAATTGTGTTTTATTATTTATTGATTAAGTATGATCAATTTTAATTTAATCTAAATTTTTAAAAATAAGAATCAATATTTTTTTATATTTTATTTATAACAAATTATGTAAAACAATTTTTTTTTATAAATTAATATTTATAATAAAATTTAATAATATTTTGAAAAGGAGCAACCTTATTGGTCAATATGAACGGCACACCATTTAAATTAACCAATGGTAATCAAGAATGGGAATATATAAATATATATTTGTTTTCAAAAAATGTTTTTCAATATATTTCAATGTTCTCTTTTAAATTAAACATCATTTGTTTTTTCTCTTTTTGTATGTTCATTCACGTGTGTAACTTATTACATATGCGAAAAAAAATTGTGTATAAATAAAATAAAAATGAATGAATGAATGAATGAATGAATGAATGAACAATAGAAACAGAGAGAGAGAGAGAGAGAGAGAGAGAGAAAATAACCAAAGAGAGAAGAAATGTAAATAATAATTTTTGATTTAAAAAATATTATATCATAAATTATATTCATTATGTATATCTACAAGTTGTGTATATTTGTATTAGAATTTTCAATAGTGATTAATGATTATTGTGAATGAATGGTTGTTAATAGTCAACACACATATATGTTTAGTTGTTTCCTTCTTCTTTTTTTTATATATTGTTGCTCTGATGATGTCAATGTTGAATTAATGCTAAAATGAATTTCATGCTTTACTTGAATTTACTTAGATAAACATTAAAATACAATAAACTTTAATTTGTTAGTTTCAAAAAACAAACAAACAAGCTGACATATTTAAAAATATGATTGAATGATGGTATTATAATAATAATTGTGATTATATAATAATATATTTTGTTGCCGGTTAATGTTTCATTTGTAGTAACTTTGATTTCTATGATCCACTAGTGTATTTACGATACAATATTCCCTGTAACTAGAATGATATTTGATTTTTGAACATTTTTGTTTTTACCAACAATAAAATAGTTTAAATGATGAGGTAGAAATCCGTAGGAAAACAATTTATAGATTAAAATAAGAATGCATTGACTATTCTTTGAATAAAAAGAAACTATGATAATTTGTGTATTCAGTTGTAAATTCATTCAATTACATACATGATATTCTTCTGTTTTCACACATGTCTGACATTCAACACGACAACACCAATTGAATTGACAATGACATTTTTCACGTACTTCACGTAATTGTGGTTGTGAACCACGATTACAACAAAGTGTTGCACAACTTGATTGATCTGTATTGTTTGGTAAACATTCACGACCTCTTGTACCTGAAGTCTGTGTGCTTGGATCATATTCACAATAATTTGATGATTCGTCTAAATATGTGATATGATCTGGTGTGATACGACGTAATTGTCTACTAGCTCGACGTAGTTTTGTTCCACGTCTGTTGAATTTAACCTAAAATTTTTTGATAAAAATAGTTAATTTGAAATGAATTTATATATATATATATATATATATATATATATATATATATATATATATATATGGGCTACGTGTTCCTGTCATCCAGATATTTCAACCAATTACAACTTTTCTGTTTGTTTTAACACATTGTGTCCGTTAATCGAATAAACTTTTCAGGTGCTCTTATGAAAAGTTTACAACTTTGCACTGTAAAAGTTACAAAAAGTGCAACCAGCAGCTTCGCGGTGGCTGGCATCATGAATTGAAAAGAATGCACATTATTCAATTGTCGATTCATGAACTGCTAGCATCTAACTGACGATCGCTCAATATTTATCGTCAGGTTCGGTCAAAAAATAAGAAAAAGAAACTTGTTCAATTACTTTGTGCTGAGAATTTTATATTGTATCAAAAATAGAATATTGAATAAAGCCATCATTAATAATAATCATTATTATTTAACTAGTAGGAATCATTTCTGATGTGTTTTTTGTCGTTCATATTTCAATTTTAATGAAACTATTGTTCTATGACTGATTTTACCGCAAACGTTTGAATTTTGCTCACTCATCGAGATAAAAAGAAATGATCTACAATTAAGATTTGATTAGATGTTACCAATCTTGATACTTTGGTATTATCAAGATCTACTGAATAGGGAGTGTAGTCGTTGATTCGTCAAAATGAACAACACAAGTATCATGTTCGCTAGGAGTTTCTGTCGATTTTTACATATGATTCTGTCCAAGTAAAAAGTTTGGATTCAGAGATTCCTACTTATTTTCAAAGAAATTACGTCCAAACTTGTTTTTTGTTGATAAAATTCACAGATTTTCAACACACTGAAAATTTATTTTATGTTGATATCTAACGCATGATGCTAAGTAATTAGTCGGTGCCATAATTTCCATTATAATAACTGACATCAATGAACAATTTTTGATTGCAAGGTAGTATGTTCACAAATTCATTCTCATTAATGATAGTAAAGAAATCTTAATAATTTTCCGCTCATCATATACTTACCTTGAATATTTGAAATAAAATATAAAGAAGTTTTAAGTTTGATATATGACAATATAATGAATTAGAGCTATCGGGAAATTTAAGTGATTGCCTTGTTAATTGAACTTCTTATAAGAATAAATGTCAGTTTAAACTAGAGTAATAAAACTGATTAGCTTTATGGTTATTGTGAAAAAAAAGACGGATAACTTACATGTTTTTTATATACACAGGAATTAAACAAACCATTTAGTGTTCTTGAGGGAGGGAGTAAAATTGTTGTTTCTCAAACAATCAGATCTCATAATTTATAACAAACATTCTTCAGCCAACTAGTTTGAATGTATTTTTACTTTCATTATCTTTCAGCATACAATATAACAAACATGTGATCATAAATGATTGTCTGTTAATAATATTCTCTATTTTTATTTGTCTAAATTCTAGCTATTGCCTTACACATTCTTCTATTACACCAATACATACATAAACATAGCCAATTGCAAACTATGAAATTATTTATGTCTGCATGTATATTGTTGTTATTACTTATCATTTACCATTTTACTCCTTTCGTCTAAGATTCAAAATGAATAGAATACATGACAAATAGAATGCGGTAGTAAGAGTAATAAGCATAGACCTTGTTACAAAGAAGAAACCCTAACCATGGTATTATTATTCCAGTGATGATGATACTTTGGCTTTATTAATGTTATTGTTACTATTGATGAACATGATGATAATAGCGAAAACGGCGACTACAAGTACAAATAAGACAATGAATACATTTCGGTTTGTTATTCTTTATGTATGTATTTTCACCATAATATTGAACAGTTGCTTGACGAAAATATGTACATAAAAAAACTAGTTGGTTTTTTCTCCCTATCTTTATTAATCATGTCAAATCTTATTTGTACACTATATCTCTTTACCGCTTACTTCCCTCCATTTCATCTTCCTCCTCCACCTCATCATCATCATCATCATCATCATCATCATCATCATTTTGTATTAGATAATGACAAGAACGACCATGTTAAATGTCTTCATTCGACATATTAGTTTAGTGATTGTTTTAAGAAGCAAGTAAAAAATAAAATAGATGGTTTACTGCTGAACATGGTGTCAGCGATACGAATGCAGATTGAAGCATATATATATATATATATATATATATATATATATATGTTTTGTAGTTGTCTTGTTGTTTTTGTCTTATAACATACTAACTTCTACTACAAATCGTCTATTTAATTTTGTCGACGGTGTATGACAAAGTATAGAAAAAGCATCAAGGTATGTAACTGGAAAGAGAAAAAAATAACTATATTCTACACAGAATAGTTGATAAGGAGGAAGATAAATAAACAATCAAGCAAGCAAACTAAAACAGTAACACATGAAATTTGACGAAGAAGAAATGTGTGCATGAATGAGAACTAGTGTGATAAATAGAAGAGACTAGAACCAGAAAAAATAAAAGGAAGTTTTTCAAAGATTTTTATTTAAGTATACAGTAGTAAAGATGAAAAAAGGAACATTTTATTTATATTTACATTTACAAAGTAAAGAATGTAAAGAGAAAGTTCGTTTTTACTGTTCAGTATGAAATCAACTGTGCATTAAAATTCCTTAATAATAAATAATATTTTGAATAATTATAATTTCTATGATTAGTTTTGTTTTAGACGTTACTGTTATTCAATATGTAAAAGGATCAGTACTATTATAAGTAAAACTATCTTTAAATCGATCAGAAAATAAAAATGTAACATCAGCATGTTTCATGTATTCACATTGTGTACAGATATAAATGTATCAATATAATATTTTGAAACCGTAGGGGACGGTTTTTAAGAATCCATTATATATATAAGGAAAAAATTACAGATTGATATCACAATCACAACAATTAAAATCACTCAAAAACTGTTAGACAATTTCATCTTAATTTAAAGCATTCAACTAACGTTAATGAAATCAGACAGAATCTAACATAATGCCTTCAGAATCGACGATGTAAACTTTATTACCACTTATAGAAGTTTTAATTATTTTATCAATCGTGTTACTATTCATCTTTAATAAATAAAAGTCAATTAGTCAATCATATTCAATGTAGAACCTAGCGCATATGTACTTTGGTTCAACTTGTCATATCCAATTGTTAGAAATTTAGAAAATTCACACCAAAAAACGAACAAACATCATAATTTTCATTAAGATCATTATTTTATATTCATTTTGATCTTTTTAAATTGAGAATTTAAAATGCAATGAATTCTTGGCTTAGTAGCCATAATCTATGATACTTAACATATAACTTAGGTTAAGTATTATATATATATATATATATATATATATATATATATATATATGTTGGAGTGGATATGTGCTACCTTGGAGCCTGGACAATTTGTTGTTTATTTCATTTTAATAGTTCATTCACTCTAAATAAATTATCTTCAAAATATTTGTAACTATATTAATACCAAATAGATTACTTTAATGAACTTGAAAACTATACACTTAATCAGTTCTTTGTTGTTGTTGTTGTTGTTTTTTATTTGTTATTTTCTTTTATATTGCAATTTCTCTATAGATTAATTAGTCATCATTTTTCAAGTAAATAATCTTATAACCAGTTCATTGGTCATCAAATATATCACAATCAGATTTAACTTTGATATGAATGTGTGAATTAAATATATAATAATATAAGTTATTTTACCTTAGTTATAATTGTGTTACATATAAATATTGATTGATATATGTATATAAAATTGTAGTCTATTTTGAGGTCAATAAAATATAATATACCGCTAAATTCATACTCTTATGTATTTTATTTTCACAATGAGGGTTTATGAAGATTGTAGTAATTTTAATAGTTCGATTCATGAATCGATTAAAACTAGATCATCATTGTAAATATGGAAGCACTGAATGGCCGTTTTGTTCTGGTACAAGACTACTCAGCAGTGAGCATCCACAATACCGCTTACGAGACTCGAACCCAGGTGCGCACGAAGCTGAATGTCCTAGGTGAGATAATGGAGGCGTACTGCTGAAGAGTACCATATTAGGACAAAACGGCTGTCCAGTGCTTACAGTTTTTCAATTATGATCTAGTTTTAATCGACTCATTAGTTCAAATATTTTGTTTTCAATGAGAACAGTACATTCATTACCTACAAGCCTCAAGACTGTATCTATAAGACTGATGATTTAACTGACAATGACGATTCGGAGCTGTTGATCATGCAATAGAGAGCTATAGAAATTAAAGTCACTGGGAAATTCGCACAGAAGTAACCAGAAGTAAAGTAATTAAAAATTATTTCATAGAAATATTTCGTTAAGCATGTTGAATGGTGACTTAAGTTATTTGTGTACCGGTTTATATTCTATTTAGTGTGATATTTATATTCCTGATGTTCAAATATCTAAATTTAAATCTAAACTTACAACTGCAAAACTGGATCTAGCAAAATATACCGTGATCAAGGAAAATGATAATTGGTTGAAATACACTAATAGTTGTACTATTCTTATTAATCAAATGATTTTCTCAACAATCATAAATATTTCATTTGTGTATTGGTTGCTTGAATCTTCCCATTGATGTTTAGGACCACAATTGATCAGTTTCTTATTGGCAAATGTACATCCTGGGCGGATTGCCTGGATATCACCGTGAGCCACAAGTATTATGAACAATGAATTAAACTTAGCTCCGCTGCATAGGCTAATGGTTATCTAGACCCAGTAGCTAAGTGGATAACGCGATAGTGTTAGGAGCGGACAGTACTGCTTTCGAATCCTGAAGCAAATATCAACTGCATTATACAGATGCATCCAACTGACGAGTTGTGCTCCCTAGATTCCATTACTAGCCATCATCATCATTGGTAAATATTTCAGATAATTTTATTTTCGCCAATACATAATGATTATCAGTATATTAATGAAAAACAGTTTATCGTTTCGTTTATACCATTCATAGAAATCAACATTTGTATTTGTACTGTTGCTTACCATCTATTCTACTAATTAAAAGTTTTTATCTTTGCCTATCAAATACTAATCTACAGATATGTATATATTGTATATTTGAAGTAATTCTCTTATTACAATATACGATAAAAAAATTATGAATTAATTAAAATCAGAAGAGTTTTGTGAATATTATAGCAATTTCAATGGTTAAGATCATGAGTCAGTTGGAGCTAAACCACCATGGAAAATCTAGAAGTACTGGACGACCGTTTCGTCTTAGTGTGGGACTCCTCAGCAGTGAGAATCCACGACCTCGCCCCCTGCAATATTCGAACCCAGGACCTACTGGTTTCGCGCGCGAGCACTTAACCACTAGAACACTGAGCCGGCCAGCATCCAACGGTGTTAATGTCTAACTTCAACTAATCCACGAAATTGAGCGACACATCCATCATAGCCTTCAGTGAGTTACTATCTCACAACTGACCCGGTTGAACTCCACTGGTTACTGTTTCTCATTAGAACTCAAGGACATACCTCTTGAAGCCAGTCACTAGTGAACATATGTTGATTAATATCAGAAGGGGTTTTATGGATATTATAGTAATTTCAATGGTTAATTAAAAAAAATTTTAAAAAAATAAAAACGTGGAAACAAAACGAAACTGAAATATCATTAGGATTACAAAATGGGATATTCTAGAATACAACATATGTTATTTATTATTTGTTGAATGAAGTAACAAAATCTAGAAAACATGCTTTATGATTAATAAAAATATTAAAAAAAACAATACTAATATTTATCACATAGTAGGATAAAACATGGCGTCATGTAGACATTGTTAATTCACTAGTAATATAAAATATGACATATTTGTTGTATGTTTGCGGTTTAAGGGTAAAAGAAAATGAATAAAACAGTAGAAAATGATTCGTTTGTATTACTTATTATAATGGTTAATATATTATGACAGAAATATGTGTAAATCTATGAATAGGAAATTGTTATTCATTATATACAAATTATTTATTACAAATGAAACATACAAAGAGTCAATGTTCTATGCTTTGAAGATTTCTAGGGCAATTTTATTCAGTATTGGTTTATAGATAAATAATATTAGAGAATGCCAAATTAGGATTAGTCAAGTTTCTTGGCATCCCATATGTTATCATGGATATCTTCAGAAACTATCAAAATATCATCAAAAAAATATTCAACTTGATAAGGAAATTACAACTGACAGTGAATATGTAGGGTGATCAGAGATGATAAGTAGGTAACCCTGGATCGAGAAAGATGTATCCTCACTCTTAATGGAGATAATAATTCTTGGTGGATCAGCTCTCATGTCACTCAACTTTATGGTCTGCTATGTGACCACTGAGCTACTCTGGCTTCGATAGATATCTAGTAGAAATGATATATTTTAGTTACTTAATAATGACCTATATCTTGTTTGTATAGTCCCTCAGCGTTGACTGAGTTTTATAGATCAATAAAATATTACTGAAGATAAAAGTAAGTAAAACGTTATAGTGCCTGGACGAATGATATCGATTCGGGATCATGCTAATTAGTGTCAATGTACGTTAAATGAATATCATTTGTTGATATAATCATTTGGATGTAGTTCATAGATATCACTAGGTAATGCCTAATAGTTTGCTTATAACATACAAGTTTAATGTCGAGATTTTGATCAGATAACCTTTGTGAAAATTATCACAATATCACAGATTGAGTGAAATTAGACTTGTACACTGTCAGATCTTAACCCAGCGGTCTAGATTTTAGGGGGTAGCGTGGGTGACTGAAGGACTTTGAGTGCATCCCCAAGTTCAGAATCATGGAGGTGCACTGTTGGGGGGTATCATATCAGGATGAAACAGTCAGGTTTCCAACTGTTAATCAACTTCGATCATGAAGTGCTATTAATAAAAGCCATTTTTATCTATCATTTACATAATAAAGATACAAATACTTCAAGTTTGTATGAATAAGGTACTCTTTATTCAATATTTGGTTGGTAAATAATTAGATCTCGGATATAACAGACTGGCAATCAAAGATGTAGTGTTTCCAAATCCATCTGAAATCGTATGTGGATATATATATATATATATATATATATATATATATATATATATATATTCATTAAGGTTAAGTACTGTTTCCTCAACGATTTAAACTTCATTCCTTAGCATTACAATCAAGAACATTATACGTAATTAATGAAGGTCTGTTACTATAGTGATTTATTTTCTAGATTGATGATACAATAATTGGGAAAAACATTCTCAAGTACTTACAAAGTAGTTCAAGTCTACTAGCTTCAACATCGCAAAAGAGCCAGGAAATATTACCCTCGTTCCACGAAAATGTTACAACCGTATTCTAAAATGGAATTCAACTGGGAAACTAGTGATTGTACTCATCATTTATAAAAATGTTGCTTGTATACGTTAATCGGCAAAAGGAATGAAATATAGAGGTTTTCAAATAATGAACTACTGTATCACAGAGTCGTAAAGAAAGATAATGTAGGGCCATATGAATAACTTTTTATACTTAGTCAACCTCAATGAAATAGTAAACAACCATTTAAGTACCCTTAAGAATCGATTACGTTATCCCTATTGTGCATGAAATTTTGTCACAATAAATTCTGAATATAACTGGTTTGTATTCTGACTAGCTAATATGGAGAATAAGGGCGTGTGTTGTTTCTAGATTTGCTTGAATTCGGTAGCACAATGTAGCTCCACTTCAGAAAATAATTCCTGAATGATTTATTTCCGTCAATATACTAAGTACAGTTGGCCAGTCGATAAGCACTTTCATATTAACTGCCACTTATTATACTTAGTTGGTGTCGATAAGACAAATTCAGTATGTTAGGTTCAGCATAAGTTAATAAAATTTCTGAATGCATCTTACTAAATCCAATATCGATTAGTGATTTTTAAAAAATGCAGAATTACTGTTAAGATGAGGAATTTCGCTTACCTTAACAGCTTCGTCATAACCTTGACGAAGATATCGACCGATACGAGTGAATGGAGACAATTGTGTCCAACATGTTCTTAAACTACATGATCCAGAAACACCATGACATTTACACGCTACAGAAGCTAATTTATAGACGGCCTAGAAGAAAAAATAAATGTCATGTAAGAATAGTCTGTAATAACCGAAAAAGATAAGTTGGTATTTTTTTAGGTTTTTGAAGAAACTGTTAATTTTTTTAAAGAAAATTCAAAACTGATATCGTCAAACTAAACGTTCTTTATGAGTAAAAATAATCGATAAGGTTAACTATACAATGGTTTCAAAGTTGTCATTAGGCATTGTCTGAAATCTAAAGAAAAGTAACCCAAACTTGACAATTCGTATCAGTCAACATCAAACTTCACTATTAAGCTGTTTGAATTGAAGGTTAGAAATTAATTTGTTGACCAGAGTTTCTGGATTTAAAAACATACGTAACGGAAAATAATCAACAGTAAATAGCAGATAGCAAAAATATGCTGGTGAGACTATAATTTACTATAACGGGTCTTAGATTTTGGTGTGAAATTCATTCACCCATTTGGCTGATGTCAGTTCGTGATGAAAACCCTAAATCTAATTCTTAAGCTTAACCATCAACTGTAAATCGTAATCCTTATTCTTTAAACTGCTTTATAACCCTCATTTAGCCCTGGTAAGTAAGTAGACATTCTCAAAGTTCGTCCATATATCATAGTCTCACCAAAATGCTTTTTTCGCAATGATCCGTTCATTATGAGGTAAGTTATTCACTGTGAAAATCTTATCATTCTTCAAAATTCTATGAAAAACATGTTAAAGAAATTTTGTAATTGTCTTAGAGACAATTTAAAATCTGATTAATTAAAATGCACTAAATTTAACCGAATAATGCAAAATATTCCCTTTTGTATTAAACTATGCTACGATGATTTAAAATATTCATACTAAAATGATACACTGAAATATTTGACAGTATTAAAGTAACACAATCACAAAAGTAGACTTTATGGTACCAATCACTTGAATATCTGTGCAAACATGTCTATGCATATTCTCTAGTCAGAGCCTTGGGATATAAACGAAGAATTCATAAAACTTGCAGCCAACAAGATAAGTTGTGATTAATTTGATACAGAAATATTAAAATATTTCAGATAAGTATGAAGCATAAAGATAATTTAATTAACTGTCAACACCATGGTGTGTTGTATAGACACTGAATGATAACCCGTTTAGTTTGAAACTAATCCCTTCGTGTTGAGATTGTTTTCACATGCACACGATTGGTTATCTAAGTTTGTGATCCTTAATTACTGAGAAATTTCAAATGATATTTAGTCAAATGGATGGTATACGTAAAATATCTAGAATACACTATATATGTATATATGTAATCAATCCTAAATTCATTTAATCAAACAAGAACTTACCAAACGACCTGCTCTATTATTATGTAAATTCATTAACATACGTGCTAATTCATTTGAATGTCTTGGATAACTTTTCTCTTTTTCTCTAACATCAATAAATGCTTTGGCAAATCTATACGCATAAGCAATATTATCACCACAACCACCCCATATCCAATCACGATGTAATTGATCTGGTCTATCAGCTTTACTACATCCACATGAATATAATCGAGCTTCTTTACAACTTCTTGCTAATGCATGTACAACACCAGCTGCAGATATTGCATGAGCAAAACCAGCTTCACGGCTACCTAAAATAAATTAATATTAGCATTTATTGATGTATATAATCAGGTATTTATGGTCTTTTAGAATAATACGATAAGACAAAAATGTCTAATGTATTTGCTTAACTCATCTCGAACAATCTGATCATAAATATACTTGTTAAGATGGTATATATGAAAAAATAAAAGGCCGACTAGATAAGTTAGAAGGTAAGGGGAAACACTGTGTACATTTTTTATTATCTTTGTTTCCAAAATTTATTAAAAGGAACAATTACTTATGATATGTTAAAAGTTCATTTGAAGAACTCTTAAATTGTTTGATGGAAGTATTAAACCTTTGAAGTAAATCCTAATTATTGATATCGCTAAGTTGAATCAATATCTTATATGAGACGAATGATTGACTAGAATTATGCGTGTTCTACCACCCTAAAACAATTGTTTTTGTGATGAATCCCTTAGAAATTAATATGAGATTTATTCCATTAAGCAAAGTTATAGTCTCCTCCTATCTGTAGTAAATAAACAGAAAAGTATTTACGTAACGATGTTAATGATGAGTTGCAAATTTTAGGGGATTGACATAGTAATTGTAGGATGCATGATATTTAGTATGATATTATATATTCCACATTAAATAGATTCATTGTTGATCAATGTTTATAATGTAGTGAACGAAGACATGGTAAGGATAATCAACTTACTGTTTAATATAAAATTACAGTGTCTTCGTAAACTAATGAATACATCATTTATACATCATTCATCAGTTGTCTTTTACAAACTACATTGTTCCTTCATTCCTGTTTTCATCTTGATCGTTCTCAATTTTCTTCTCTTTTCTTTTCATTTCAGTCTTCTCAGGCGTTTTCCTTTCTATTGGTGCAACATACTACTTATATCTGTCAGCACACACTACAACAGTTTTGATATATAATATTTTGAAATCATTTCCAAAAATAATATTGTTCAAAGTTGTTAAATTTGATTTTATACGTTACATTTCAGTTTTATTCTATTCTTAACTTAAATTGACTGTTATAAATCTTTTATTTCGCAGAAAATTTAATATCAGAAGGATTTTTGTGGAAATCGCAGTAATTTTAATAGTTGAGATCATGAGTCAATTGAAGCTAGATCAACATGAAAAACCCGGAAGTACTGGACGGCCGATTCGTCCTAGCATGGGACTCCTCAGCAGTACGCATCCATGACCTCGACTCGCAAGGTTTGAACCCAAGACCTATCAATCTTGCGCGCAAACACTTAACCACTAGACCACTGAGCCGGCCAGCATCCAACAGTGTTAATGTCTAACTTCAACTAATACACGAAATTGAGGGACATAACCACTATTGTCATCAGTGAGTTACTATCTCACAACTGACCCGGTTGAACTCCACTGGTCACTACTTCTCACTAGAACTCTAGGACATACCTCTTGAAGCCAGTCACTAGTGAGCATATGTTTTTAATTTAATGATTGTCCGTTTGTTTTATATATAGATCAATATTGAAGTAGGTTTCCATTAGATTCTTTTTGTTTTTCTCCATTCATAACAATTAATCTGATGAATTAATTGTTGAATTCATCAAGAAGTTGCAATTCTCAATTTAACCAATAAATTAATTATGTAAAAACTTAGGGTTTATTACCACCATTATGTCATCTATAATAATCTCTGTATTGTTTATTTAGAGAAAGAATATATTAGTGATATAATTTTTTATCATTCACTGTGTTTATTCATAATAATTTTGTATGAACTATGAAAAATTGTTTTTTTTGAAAAATACTAAATTATTTATTTAATTAGAACTTTTAAATAAAATTTCTAATATATAAACAAGTAAATTATTGACATAAAGGTCTCCATACCTCTCTCCCTCCCTCTCTTTCTCTCTCCCTCTTTCCCTCTCTCTCTCTCTCTCAAGTGTACTTTAATGTTATGTCATTAAATACAGAAAAAAAAGACAGATCGTTTTTAAGTTTAGAGTTTGAAGTGAATATTTTACATCAAGATAAGTAAATTGATATATTTACAGAAAGAAACTAAGAACCAATCAATATTATAAAAGTATAGAACTAATAAAATGACCAGTTAAACAGACTATTATGTAAATGATAGAGAATATGTGTAGATCAAAATTTGTATTTTATAGGTGATATGTTCTCTGAGCTGGATATTTTAGTCATGAGGCCTTCATTCTCTTCCTAGACAACATTGTCAATACATACTGGTCATAATTCATAGAACAGATTAACAGTTGGGATGTCGGAGATCTGCTGAAGGTAAAAAGCAATGAAACCAAGCATACAAAGAATGATCACAGATTGATAAACAACAAACAACAAAATTACAGGTCGAGAAACTATTGTACTAATCAGTTGTAGAGAAAATCTAGTAAATATATTTTTAAGTATGTGCTGTTGATGTTATGTTGGAAAAAGAAGAAAGACTCATAACTAAACCATCCAGGTCAGAGAACACAATACATTCAAAAAATATTATAATCTGCCTACGTGGTTCGTAAAATTTGTTTGGATCGAAACTAACATTTTTCACGAAATCTAATAAAAGTCGAATAACTATTTACTGTTACCTTCTTCTAGTTAAATGTTAGACCTTGACGTTTTGTAGAGAGTGAAATACTATAGTGAAATTCAACAGTCCATAATTCTCGGCCATATAGAACAATCGTCATACAACGTTATCAACAGATAACTAACTCATTTATGATACAGTTTGCTTTAAATATTAATCTTATGTCTGCTAGTAACTTACTATGAGGTGGATTTTGAGTTATATTAGTTAACTTGGCATTTGTCGAGGCATTCAGATAGTGAGTACAATATTCACTGATTAAATTAAAAGATCATTGTACAGTATGATAAACTAAATTAAATTAAAAATGATGATCCCTAAGTTACATTTGACAACCTGGATGGTATCTTGAACGTGTTGCATTGAAGTCATTCATTTCTAATTTTTAAGCTGACTGTTAATCATAATACTACCTAGAAAAATAAAAAGGGTTAGTTGTGTAAGATTGGTTATATTGTTTCATTACCGAAAGCCTACTAAACAAATAATATTCCGCGTACAGAATCGTGGATGCTCATTGTTGAAGAGTCCCACACTAGGACGAAACGATCATGTAGTGCTTCCAGGTTTAGGACCGAAAATCAAATCAATAGAAGATACAACCAAAATTAAGAAGCTGTGAACCATATGTGGAGAAATTTGAACATTTCACTTCTAAATGAAGTTTGTGCTGATGTTGTTGTTCAGAATAACGATGAGAGCTCCACGACCAAACCATTCAGCTCAAAGTAATTTTATCTTTCTCTTGCCAACTATTGTATGTAAATAGAAAAGCATATACCTGGTTTAGTTTGATTTTCAAATATTAACTGCTGATATTTGAATGCTGATAGTGAATCATGGAAATGACTAATTTATATAAAAATATGAACAACAAAAATATTCAACTCAAGTGAAAATACTTTAATTCATTATAAGTGTTCACTTGATTGCAGAATTTCGAAAATGTTCAATTCCATGGTAATATCACTTATCGTTATTAAAATTAGGGTTTACGATCTATCCAGCTATAAAAGTTCAGTCTATATTCTAGTTTCTTTTAATGGATAAACTTAATGTTCTGTGTTTAATATCAGAAAATGTTTTTGTGAATATTACAGTAAATTTAATTATTCAGATCATGAGTCAATTGAAGCTAGATCACCGTGGAAAATCTGAAAGCACTGGACGGCCGTTTCGTCATATTGTGAGACTCCTCAGCAGTACGCATCCCCGATTTCGCCTCGCAAGATTCGAATCCAGGACCTATCAGTCTTGCGCGCGAACATTTAACCTATAGACAATTGAGCTGGCCAGCATCCAACGGTGTTAATGTCTAACTTCAACTAATACACGAAATTGAGGGACATAACCACCATTGTTATCAGTGAGTCAAAATCTTACAACTGACCCGGTTGAACTCTACTGGTCACTGCTTCTCACTAGGATTCCAGGAAATACCTCATTGTGTTTGCCTATAAGACAGATAGATTGAAGAATTAACTGATCATTATTCAACTGTAAAAAATGTTATTCACGCAAAAAATAGACTTGATAAACAAAAATTGTTGAAAACAATAAACGAGCCATGAAGTAATGTATACATTGAAGTGTATGTATTTGTGAAGCAATTTATAAGTAACATTTTGTATTAGTAGTGATGTTTTGATTTCATGATTAATGACAATGATTTATGTTGTCAATTATTCTTTTAAGAATTAGAAAATATACATTTGCTATATGATAAATTTAAAGTATGTCATTATCAAAGTAAAACAAACTTTTAAAAAAGAAATCGCTATGATTATACACAACAATAAAAGTTTATTATGAATTTATTCACTGTTATAAAGATTTATTTACCTCTAAATTGTATAGATTACTAATTCATATCAACTGGAAGGATTACTGAAATGTAAAAAGTACTGAACAACTGTTCAGTTCTGATTTTAGAGCCCTTTTAAAGATGTGAACCTAGGATCTTATTTAAGTGAAATATACCTAACTAAATGACATATAACTGACTGTACCGTAAACATTTTGATAAAAAGAATGTAAAGAAAACACAAAACGGGCAAGTTCACAGTTAAACTGAGACTTGAGGATACTCCTTTATTAGATTACAAAATCAAAGATTGTTTAGCTAAACAGTAAAAAAATACAAACCCTAATTTAAAACATTCCATAAGAGTATCTATCATCATTTTTTGGATAAAGTTATACACGATAAGAAACAAAGTAATTCCCTCCTAAAAACTTATAAATTAACGAACAATTATAATAGTTTGGTTCATGAGTCGATCTAAACTAGACAACCATTTGAAACCTGTGAGCATTGGACGGCCGTTTTGCCCCAGTATGAAACTCTTCAGCAGTGTGCGCCTACAACCCCACTTACGAGACTCGAATCCAGGACCTTCGGTTTCGCACGTGAAC